AATAGGAGCTCATGGGAATCAAGTTTTCGAAGATAAGGATCACGGAGTGTAATAAGGGATCGGACGAAGGACGTGGTGATCCTTGGTCGAGCTGGCTCCAGACTCGTATAGAGGATCCAAAGGATCTAATAAGGGTTCTTCGATGTATCCGGCGTGATCTCAATTTGGGAGTAGTAGGAATCTAGGAGTGGAAACCGGATTTGGCTTATCTCCTATAATTTGGGAATGTTTCGTTTTTCATCCTTAAGGAACGAACGACATTAAATAAGACTTTTTTTTTTTTTAAACTTTGTCTTATTTATTGTAAAATAATAATATACAAATATACAAATTGTTTTACAATTTCAAGTATTCTCTTCTCGTAATGAATAAAATCCTCTTCCCTGGTAACAACTTTTACACCGGATCCAAATGAATTTCGCTCTTTGTCTCGCCGTTCCAACCGTTATCTTCGTTCGCACGAGTCGCGAAAATGGTATAATTCCGCGTCGGTATTATCGATCCCCGACGACGATGCCGAGTCGGTGTCGAGCGAACCGGAAACGAGATTGCGCACGAAAACGCTTTTTATTCGGTTCATCGGGAGTGCCTTCTCGCGTTTTATGCCTTCATTCCATACCTCCCACCTCCCCTTTCCCCCTCCAACGAATTTAATCGACCTCTTTCCTTCTTTTTCTTCTTTTTCTTCTTCACCTGCTCCTCCTCTCTAGAATCCAACGATTTTTCAAAGCCTCGTGACTCACCGACGATATTCATCGTGCTTTATCGCAGATGGAAGACGAGGGCAATCACGGCAATGACGACACCAGATGCTTCATCCTGTCCACTCTCGCGGCGCTTCAGTGGTCCAGAGTGTCCTGCGTCCTTTGTCGGGCGCCTATGCTCGTTTTCGACAGGTATCCATTGGTGGACGGCACTTTCTTCTTGTCACCGAGGCAGCACTCGTCCGCCTGTGCAGAGGTAACTTGAAAAATTTCGATTCGACTCGATTCGATTGTTCAAGTTTTGCAATATCCTCGATCGAAACGAAAGGACGAAGAGGGTGTGAACTCTTGCTCGATCGTTGTTCCAGGTTAAAGTGGAAGGTCGCACGCAGTTCTTGTCCGCTGTTTGTATGAGTTGCCTGGAGGGCAGTGGCGGCCAGCCTGTACGTTGTCGTTGCTGTACTCAACCTTGGGATGGATCTAGCTTGGTCCTTGGCACCATGTACAGCTACGATATCTTTGCTGCTATGCCCTGTTGCACCGAGAGACTCAAGGTAAACTCCCTCGTTTTATGATTTTTAAATCGATCGAGGACCTGCCTCCTCCCTCCCCCTTTTCTTAGAAAAATTATTTACGTCCAATTCCATTTTTTCCCATCCTGTCGAGAGGACTGTTATTCGGTATACTCGATATTATCGATTGTACACCAATCCAACCAAGCAAACAAACCAACGTACTACCAAACAGATGGGATACGATGGTGAAACTGCGTGAAACTTAATCGTGAGAAAACGTGGTTTGTCTGTTACAGTGCAACAGCTGCCAGAAGCCGCTCATCTACCCGCACCAGCGGCTCAACTTCTACTCGGACTATAGCCGCGTGTTCGCGTGCCCGCATTGCCGTGCCGTCGACGCCCATTTCGTGAAACCGCTCTCGGTCTGCTTCACCCGCGACCAATTCCAGCTCTACAGCCAGTGGCCGTAACCATTAGGGAACTTAGCTAACCGACGTCATCGAATCACCGCGACTGAACCGTGTCCCCTCTTCTTCGATCCACTCATCTCCCTGCTCCGGGCGACCTTGCTCTAGATCCTTCCAACGCATCGTTTTTTCATTCTTTCTTCTAATACGATAATTATATATATATAAACACACACACACACGGACACAGATACAGACACACACGTACACATACACATATATGTATATCATTACCGAGAAGAGATGAGGATGATGGAGATGAAGAAGAAAAAGAAAGAAAGAAAAAAAAGGGGAAGAAAAAAGTAAGGAGAAGGAATATGGAAGGAACGGAAGAAGAAGAAGCGTGAAAAATATATCGCGGGTACTCGACACTTTGCTTTTCACCACTCTACGGAAAAATCATTTTTTTCCCCTCTTTCTTTTCGTTTATTTAGGCAAAATTTTGTTTTTTGTTTTTTCTTTTTTTTTTTTCTTTTTCTTTTAAGTTCGATCGCGTTTCGATTTTGGAGCGGGAAAACGTTCGTTGGGGAAAATCGTGCGTTTTGGACAAATGGATTCTCTGATGTTTCGTTTCTTTTGTAGTTTGAATTATATAAGAGCGAGAGCCCCTCCAACGAATGTCGAAACGAATAATTTTCTAATTTATTAACGAATCAAGTAAACTTTTTTTCCCTGTGTTACATCCGATTTTATCCGGATCTTGCCGATTATCCGGGAGATTTTGGAGTGGAAAAGAGTCGAGTGTCGAGTGCCTGACGAGCTCTCGTAGAAAGCGTTTTAAGATTTTTCTTTTTTTCGATAGTAGGGTTTATATATGTTGATACGATGCAAGGGACGAATCGAGTATGTTCGATAGATCGACGTTTTGGATAATATTGGACACGTATCTCGACGACGTATCGATCGATTTCGACGAAGTTTTTAAACGCTTGGCGGGAATTCGAGCCAAGGATTTATCATCAGTATTATTCTTAAAAATGAGCAGAATGTGTTTATGTTTTTTTTTTGTTTTACGTTTTTTTTTTTTTTTTTTTTTTTTTT